CAAAGTATTTCATATTCCCACTAGTTCACTCTGCTATGGGAGTGGAGGAGGCCAATCCATGCAAAATCTGATTTCTACTTTCTAACTTGCTGTTTGATATACATTAAAAAAAAAAAAAAAATCCCAACAAAAAAATCCCAGACAAATTTTTCATTTAATATTTACAAATGTGGTTGCAATCAACAAATTCTGGTTATTTATTATAAAAAGCTAATAGCAAACATTCAACAGAGAAAAGTTTGGCTACTGGAAAATAGAGATAAAAGGCACAATCTATTGTACATAACAATTACTGACTAAACAAGTGGAAGACTGGATCTAGGGATTCCCCACAGAACTGCCCTTAATTTGTAAACCTTAGCAATGGACATCTGCTGCTGAAATAAGTTGTCTGCATAGATTCATTTTTCAGATAAAGAATTGGTAGAAAGCTTTGTTGTTTTTCCATCAATCTCATGAGAGGTATTACAGTGAGCACAGTATTTTTTTCTAATCCCTGTGAAAAACACTTTTCCTCCCAAAGTCAACAAAATATCAGGACACTACTCTGTGAGCTATTTGCAAAGACAGAGAAAGTTATATCCATATCTATCATATAGAGGCTCACCATATTACTTCTTTTTCAGAAAAAGAGTCATTCTAAACTTTCCATTTAGAACAGACAATAAAAACTACAGTACACCAATGTTCTTTACACAAAATGTCCTTAGTATCTAAATTGAAAAAATCAAAGCTTAAACTGAAATATATTTGCTCGCTGTACGTGTCTTTCCTTGCAGAGCTTTGTCCTGGTTTTTAGCTGAGATAGAGCTTGCAAAAAAGTCAATCAATATTCAGCTTCACTACTCCCTAGTAATACTAGGTCCAAACAAAATCAGCATCCTTCTTCTTGAATATCAGAGTAGAACATTTAGTGACATTATACGTAGTTTATCCATCATTTACAATAGTAACAAAAAAATACCAACTGTTGCCTACTAACCATCTGTCTTTGCTGGCCAGAAGACACACAGGCTTTAGTTAAGCATCCAGAAAGCATGCCTACTTTTACAACTTTGAACTTGGCTGAAAGTGGCATAGCAATAATAATCATAAGTGTCTTGGTACTTCCTGGGTTTATATTACCTGAAATGTGACTGTATGCTCCCCAGATGAGACAGGCAGCAACATCAATCATCTGGATGTGGCAGTAATCCACAACAGAGGAGAAGGAGTAAGAACTAGAAACCCATAATAAACAAACCAACGACTACATACTTCGTAACTGTCTCCAATGAAAGCTGCAGTTGCTCTCTTACTGATTACAGAGGGATCCTCCAGTGTACACTATGTGTTGAACTTACATAAGGCTGCCATCCTCATTTCAAGACCCAACAAAAACATGAGAAAACAATGTTAATATTTGGAAGCAGAGTCTGCTGGGGGGGAAATAAATTAGTTAGTCCACAGTACCGGTATTAATGTCTTCATATACTACATAATTGCAGCTTCATCTTGCACAGCATTATTTGGAGTTTTCAAAAAGGACCTGAGAGGTTATCTGCTGCCTTGTTCTGCAATCAGGGATTTATTTTGCTAGCAGTAGATTATTTAGCAAAATGCCCCTAAAATCTGATTGCAGTTAGATCACAAGAATCTTCCTCCTACCCAGATTACACAGTACTAAAACCCAAACAACCAAACAAAAAATCCCAACGGCAAAGCAGAAGTACAGAAGGAAAGAGTAGAATGCGCTACACAATTTACTATACATTTTAATACTATACATGTTGGGATACTGTTCTAATTCATCCATCAGAACCCCACATTCTCTGAGAATAAGTGGTGAAAAAAGCCCAAGAATCAGATAAACGGGGGTTAAATTCTCAAGCCAACACTAGCAGAGAACTATCTTTAAAAGCCCTCTTACTCAATTATTCCACACATTAATTCTGTATGGTAAAAAGAATTGAGAACAAATATAAATTAATACGAACATGTGAATGGTTGTCAATGTGCCATCTAACTTCAGATTCCCTGTTCAGTCAATGGAGAGAGGCAGGATTTTACCACATGCTTTGAAGCATTCTGTGGAAGATCTCTCCATGCATTACCTACAAACCATGTTTCCTAAGTCATGGCTCCTGACCTAAGTCTATAAGTTGTTTAATGTTAGACTGTACAAATACACATTTCAATTTTCCTGCAACTGAAAACATTAGTCTATATACTAATATTAGATGTATGAGTACAAAGATAATATTCAAAATGAACAAGAAACTCTGCAAAAACATGAACTAGTGGTTTTCCACCAAAGCATGAAAAGCATTTTGAGGGATTTGCTAAATGCTACTGCTGAATATAATCTTCTGTGGTTTATAATGTGGAGTAAAGATTAAGTAAATCACTGTCTTGCCTGACAAGGAAAACATCTATTTTAGAACTCTTCAAAAATTTCGTTGGTATGTCATTGTGATGACATATTCATTTTCCCTTGGGTCTTAATCTTAAAATGCAATTTTATAGATGGTATAATAAATTTTAAGGACTATGTATGACAGTGACACTTGCTTGAATGTTTTTAAAAATATAGTAATACCAAAGCAATACATGTGAGAAAAAAGGGGGAAAAAAAGTATAAGCAGTACAGAGCAGAACTATTCACTCTATTATGATATTGTAACAACAGCAGATCTAACTATTTGTGAAACATACACAATATCTGCCACCCCTAGAAATGTCAGTAGTTCAAACTACTTTTTGATTAAATTATTGGGAGTCACTTTTTCAAAGCTTGTTCTGGGATCCAGTTTAATGACAGAAATGCACACAAATGCCATTTGAATTCACTCAGAAGACACAAAAATTCTTTGCAATTATGCGTTTTTATTGATAGGTGGCAATAGTAATAAAAAAACACCTGTTTTTCCTATCTAGTTATATCTAATAATTTTAAACCATTTTCTACTGCAACCTTTCCATCATACAAAACATGCTGATGACATTCAAACTAGGTTTCAGAGTAGTCCATCTTTTTATATGCTTATTTTTCAAATCTATGTACTTAGGTCCTTGAGCCATTTGTTAAAATGAACAGACTGTGACATACAGACACTCAGTAATCTTATTAATCTTTAAGATGACTCATGTTCACATGGTATCATAGTGCTGGTTTATGTCCTGCAGTATTAGTAATGCAGGCACATTTCATGGTCTTTCTGTGACAAATTTGCACACCTCTTTGCAACACAGACTTGGTTTCAGAAGAAAGAGAAAATTACTTTTTTTTTTTTTTTTTTTCCTCAGAGGGTGGTCAAACCCTGGAAGAGGTTTCCCAGAGAGGGTGTGGCCTCTCCATCTGTGGAGACATTCAAGACCTGACTGGACACAGTTCTGGGTAACCTGCCTTTGATGTGTATAACTAGTCTGCACAAAAACAGGCACAAAATAGTTAAGGAAAATTTGTACTTAATTCCAGAATTTTTAAGCAACCTTGTATTAAACTAAAATAGAGTATTTAACCTCATCTCCTTCAAACTCGAATTTGCAGTGACTATGAGACTAAAGACTGTGCCTGTGTATGATTTAAACCTTCATTCTTCCAACCAGGTGTCCAGAGCTTTTTACTAAGCACTGCTATGGACTTTTTCAATGAGGCTTAAAATTCCAGGTTCTGCTTATTCTGTGAAGAAAAGTTAAGATATTTTGACAATATTCATCAGACACTTTCTCCAGTGTTCTTTAATGATTTTTTGCCCTAAGAAGGTTATGTCAATTCTCTTGTCTTTAATTAAACATCCCAAGGGGCTAATTTTCATGTTTTCTGTGAACACTGATGGCCTCTTTCAACACAAAGGGCTTTTAAGCTTCTATACTGTATTGTAGCTTTTGAGCTAAAATGCATCTATAGGAAAGTATCTATATAAAGGTTCATGTACTCTCTCAACTCTCTCAAAATTTCAAGAAAGAAATATTTTAAATTTTTTAGAGCCTGCTTTTCTCCATGGTGACTTTCGTTGGCTTGCTTCCGTCCCCAAGTCTAGCCCAGAAATGTACAGGTGAGCAGTATCTTTAAAAATCTATTTTAAACAAAATCATAATGATGAAACCATCATCTTTCCCCAAAATAAGTTGGAAATAAAAAGAAACGCGGATAACATAAATCCTATGCTGCGCATATCCACATGCCCATATATTCACTACTTGGAAGAAGACATTCAAATAAAGGACCTGAAATGAGTTCACTCATCATGTAATATCAAAGCACACATACACCATATGACTTCTCTAAATTAATTGTGTCTTCCAAAGCACACATACACCATATGACTTCTCTAAATTAATTGTGTCTTCAAAGTCAGTAGCCATTGGGAACTAGAGAAAACTCTTCAGAAAAGCATGGTGAAATCGAGTGAGGAGCATCTAACAATTTGGAAATTAATTACTTTCATTTTTAAATCTTTACATTTTATCTCTAATCTGTAGTTCTCAAACTTCACCTTTTAGTCTTTAGGTATTGTTATACTCTTGTTTGATAGACTGTAGAGCTTTATTATTCAATTTATATGCTCTGATCAAATCACATCTCTGATAATGCTAGAAAAAATGACCACTTTGTATCATTTGTTATAGGACAGGATTTTCAAACCTGAAGACTGGATGGAACCTTTATACATCAGATAGAATATATTACGTTAAGGAAAAAGAAATATAAGAAAAGACATATATCATATAGAATTATGCCTACTGAAAATGCTCTACTGATAATACTTATTTCCATTAAGTCAAACTCCATAGCTCACAGGAAGCTTGGATATTCAATTAATAAACAATAAAGTTCTTAGGTAAAGGAGGGATTACGAGTTCTCTACACTAAATCATTCAATTATATCTTATAGGTGCAACTACATCTTTCCCTTCTCCGCTCTTCTTAAAGATGGTATTCCTACACTAAATTCCTGCTAACCCCAAAGAGAAAGTGAGGAAGTCATAAACTGCTTTAAAAAAATGAACAAAAAAATTTAAACTACAACAATTTTACCTGCAACAACTGGAGATTTTCTGTCATCCAGAAGTTGAATAGCAGTACTGGCTGTCACTACATTGCTTTTGTTTGCAGTTTCTGTAGGGTGCAATAAGAAAAAAAAAAAAAAAAAATTGAAATAACATACTGCAGAATGAGGAAATTGAGCTTTTTTCCCCTGGTTTGAAGTAACAGTCCATGTGGATATAGTTCTCAGAAAATAAGACAGTCAAAATCATGTTGTACATATGCACAGAACTTACAGGCACTGCCGTTTCAAAATTCCCCAGCAGCCTAACAACAAGCTTAAAACACCGAAATGAGAAATCAGTTTTTGCCTTGTCTGCTAAAAGTGGCAACAGGTGACAACTGTTAGGGCTTCTCATTAATATGGACACTTGCTCTGTTGGACTTGTCTTTCTAAAATATTAGGCTGTAAGTTAAACTGTGCAAATATTAAATGAAAACTGTTACACCATATTTTGGGGCTTCGCTTAGAACCCTGTAAAAGATGCAACTGGTCAAAAGAGGACCAGTAAATTAGCTGCAAATTTTAATGTGTATTTTGGATTAACATTTGAGATTAGCTACAGAGCCCACTCTGTACTGACATACTTTAAATCCTTTCAGCATCATATATGGCTCAGTATTTAAAGAATGACAAAATTATAGACCTGTACTAAATGGGATTGAATAGACAAAGCTCCCAGGTATTTGCTCAGCAGCTCTTCTGTACCAGAGTGGAAAATGGTCAGCATTAAAAATGTTCTCCTTATCTTCAGCTGTCAGGAAATCTCTTGAGAAAGAAGAGAAAAGAAAACACTTGTTGTTTGTTGCATGGCACACAGTAGTTTCTAGCTTTGAAAGACAACAAAAAACAAAATGCAATCTTTTGGGAAAGAAAATGGTTTGGGACTATTTTTCTAATACCACTTGTTCAACAAAAGGGTTAACTTTAGCCCCCAATAATTATTTGTAACACACTTACAGTTGTTTTTGTTGTGAAGAATGGAAAGAGTACTGAAAAAACAGTTTTTCTAAGTGCCACTAAAAACATTTGTACTGATGTGTACAAATAAAAATGCTTAGTCTAAAAAGCCTTTTTCTCTCAGCACAATGCAAGAACTGTGAACGGTACGAAGTGGAAAAGGCACTGGAGATTTGGTAATTTGTTGCCACTGGCATTCACTCTTAAGTAACAAAGAAAAGTAATTTTACAGTCTACTTTCCAAATGATATGTAAAGGGTGGTAGTGGACAACTACATACTTTATTCTTCAATAATCTCAGGGAACATTGGCAGAGGAATGTTTTGTGTCAGTGAAAAGAGCAAGTATGAACTCCAAGCATTGTTCTGGTTTGCTGTCTGAGAGCAACAAATTGCAGTGCTACTGATCTCACCTGTCAGGCTACTCACACTACAGCAACATTTTGTGGTCAGATAACCACCATACAGTTTTATATTCAATAAACTTAGTTCATCATAAACATCAAGTGCATACTTTGTTTTACATGCAAATTGTATACAGATTTTCCTGGCAGTATCAAACTGCTGCCTGAAAAAATAATTATTGGACTTTTATTTTATACCTGTCCACTTTAAGAAACCTGTACCTCCACTAGATTACATCTTCTCCAAGCCAAATAGGAAACTCTCTAATGATGAGGTCTCCTGATTAGTCTTTCACCCAGCCCACTTCTGTCACTTGGCTTTATTTCAACACTAAAAAAATTTCCACAATAATGACGCAAAATCCCTGGAACAGCCTACAGATATTTGGTTTTTGATTGGATAGTAAAAAAACCCAAACAAACCATCTGCAGATGAAGCATATTCATAATTCTGCTCTGAAGAATAAAGGTGTGAGGCTAACTCCAAGGGAGTGGGGGGAAAGTAAACGTACAGGTGTAAAATAGCTTATTGTTCCAAATGTTCCAGCTGAAGAAAGATTCTAAGTGATCCTACAAAATCTTTCTGGCTTGTTCTATGTATTTCAGTGTGCTAGTGTAAAAATCTGGAAGAAACCGTAGATGGGCTTCCTAAAAATATTTTTTTTTTTTTCACTCTTTTCTCATATGGCTGCCAAGCATAGCTTTGTTACTTACTGATTAGTAAGCTGTTCTGGACCCACAAACAGGTTGATACGAGACAGTCCAGTCCGTGTTCCAAGGAAGGCAACCTCCACTCCCTTGTCAGAGTTTCTGAAATAGAGCAGAACACAAGCAAAGATAATGTTTCCAGACAGTAAACAGATAAAGCTATATTACTGGTCACAGAAAGTGTAAGTGTACATGTTTTTAAGAAAGACTGTTTTAAGTATGCTTCCTTTATTTTTTTAATGCTGGTTTTTAACTTAAAATAAGTTTTAAGTTTAAGGGTTTTGGAAAACACACAGTATAGAAATGTTATTTAGACCAAGAGTCACTAAAAAGTCAAAGACAGTAAATTTGGTAGGATTTTCAGGGAGGGATTATATGGAAGCCATAGAACAAACAGGTGTGGCATAGCTATATACCAATTATTTAATAACCTCGGGCAACCAGGGATTCAAGATGGTCAGGAATTCCAGATCTTGCTCCCCTTCCACTCAACACTTCTGTGGTACATATATGCTTCTAGTCATAGATGTGACTGTTGCTCAAGGAAGCAAAAACTAAGCCAGATTTAAAACTAGCTTAGAGTCAAATGCAGGTGCCATCAGGATAGGCTTTAGCCTCTAGATATGTGTCAGGTAGCGCAGGCTGAGCTCTGTTACTGCATTGTTATCATAGAATCATAGAATGGTTAGGGTTGGAAGGGACCTTAAAGATCATCTAGTTCCAACTGCCCTGCCATGTCGGGGACACCTTCCACTGACCCAGTTTGAAGCCATTACCCCTTGTTCTATCACTACCTGCCCTTGTAAAAAGTCCCTCCCCAGGTTTCTTGTAGGTCCCTTCAGGAACTGGAAGGTAGCTATAAGGTCTCCCCGAAGCCTTCTTTTCTCCAGGTTGAACAGCCCCAACTGTCTACTTTAAAACTAGTTCTTGTATGGCTACAAGAACTTCAGTCTTATTTCCACAAAACCAGGGACCAAAGTCTTAGTCATCTTGCTGTCTCATACTTCATTCTTTAATAAATAGTCTGTCTCATTAGCATAAGTCAGAATATGAAAGGGGATCAAAAGTCTCCTGCTAGTATCTTTCTGCAGCTGTCTTCCTTGTGTTTACTGGATCTGTTATTTCATTGTGAATGAGGATTCCAAGAAATTTTATACCTCTATATAAATTCATCAATGTCTACAGTATATTAACATGAAAAAATTTCTTATCTTTATCTTCTAAGAGGAGACTAGATAAACCCATACTTTGATGAATCAGACCTTATCACGTTGATTTTACTCCATTAGTATGAGTATGTGCTTCACAGAAATATATATTTTTTTCATTTGACTTCTAAAAAATTGTTCAAATTTAGCAAAATCTAATCAGGATAATCTCCAGAATGGCCTTACAACCACAGTATTTCACACAAACTGCTAATCTCAACGTCTGTTTTAATATTGTTACTTAGCACCTTAGTACATCATAGCATAAATTAATTAAGTAAAACATATAAACTCTAAAAGGAGCAGCTAATCTCCTGATTATCTATAACAAGAACTTAGATCCCAGTTAGTTCTGGAAAACAAAACAAAACAAACAAACAAGACATTATTTATTTTACCAGTGCAAGTTTTTCTATATATAATTTGTTCTGAGACAAATTACCAATTCCATCAACAATTTTGGTAAGTTTTGCATTAAATTTCGTAAGTGCTCTAAACCATTTCTTAGCAATACTCAGAATTGTAAGTTGTAGTTAATATATAATGCCATTAGTTATATTGTGAAAATTGAGTAAGCTTACAGCTAATTATCATGAAGTACACTACAACATAAACACTTAACACTGAACTCAAAACTGGTGATATTTAGGATCAAATAGTTAATATAATATTTTCATGCATATCAGGATTCATTAGATATTCCACCAGTTCAGCAACATAACTATCAAAATTCACACATGACTGACACATAATGACTGACACAAAGCTTGCTTACTCTGATTTATTTAATGCTAGACTGGTCCAATAAGCTTCAATTGGTGCACTCACAACAGCATCAAACAGAACTTCTTGGATCAATTCTTTATCACCTATTTCAATATATTAAAATCAGTTAACAGGTGCATACAGTGAGAATTTTTTTTTAGATTACTAAACCTTATTTTTTTTTACTCTGTACTATACTTTATCTGTGATAAGCATTCAAATCTTTTGCACTATTAAGCATTTACTATGTAATATTACATGGTATTTTACCACAATGCAGTATTTCTTATTTCATTTCACTAACAACAATTTTAGATTAAAAAAACAAAAATATTTCTGCATTTCATGTAATACATTCATGTACATATTATCTATTGCTCACATTTGCACATGATATAAGGTTAAAACAATTAGGCCAACTAAGAGCAACAAAAGCTCTACATTTCTGCAAATAGACAAAATACGTGCTTATCCATCTAAACTTTTTTTATTCTGCTTTGCAGTTCAGAAATGCTAATTGCGTACACATTCTCCCTAAAATACTCATGAAATATCAAACATATTCTTCAGAGGCATGATCCAAGGATTGACTCAGACCAATCCTATTTAACTTATAAAACCAGATGGAGCAATAATATTGGATAGTGTAGCTACACCATCTGAACGGAAACTTGAATGTTTGGTTCAGGCATATTGTTTACCTGTAAAAGTGAGATATTTCTATTGTCAGTATCTTTATTGATACCCTGGAAAAAGCTCAAAACCAAATGAAATTCCAAAGTGACATCAGCCAAGCAACCCTGTCTCTGTTTATCACTGGATAAACTAAGTAGCTTTACATTTTGTGGAAGATTCAGTACAGCAGTTTTTAGCTACCACAGGCATATTTAACAAAATACTTGCATTGGAGCAATGGCTCTTTTCCTGTGAGGTAGCGTTTAATTGCTTCTAACTGAGTCATTTGACGGTGTTCAGGATGCAAGTCAGTGTTGCAATAGGACCTGTGAACACATTGTCAAAACATTAAAATGTTAATACGTCTAAGCATGATCTCTCTTTGTCTTTGAACATAAAGAATTGGGCTCAGCAAGCACAAACAATATGAAACCAAGAAGGGTAACAGACACCAATTTCATGCTTTGTTTAAGGCTTACCATTCATCTGCTAAAGATACATCAGGGTGTTCTAAATCATGTAAACCTGTAACAGGAATAATAATGGGTTATTTAGGGAGCAGTCTGGGTAACAGATGGTTATTTACATACACTCCATAACATAAACCCTTCCTTCTTGGAAAGTGCATTATTACCACAATGTAATAAATCATAGTAAACTATGTTCAACTACACTTTGGGGTCTAACAAACTGGCAAAAGCCAACTAGATCAGGTCTAAAACTGAAAAGGTAGGAAAAACTTTTGTACTGATATGTTTAACTCATACAAATTACTCACATGATATAGTTGAAGTTTAGAAGAAAACTTGAGCAAAGAGAAATACACAATGGTAAAAGACTTTGATTTGTACTTGTCTTTGGCTAGTAAAGTTCTTTATGCTAAAATACATACTTCTCATTTCATGAGAGTTGTTCTCTTTCTCTTTTTTAAAAAATAAATTCTTTATAAAAAACAATTCTCTCAAAAGGTAAGCACACAGCCCATGAATACAAACAGCAATTTATGGGATCGTTCAGAATAGGTTTATTGTACTAACAGGTCATGCAAATGCTTGTAAATAAGAAGTATATCATTAGCAATATAGCATAATAAAAATGTACTTTGGCAATTTTAAAAACTCTTAAAACACTTATCAATAGACAATAAGCAAACAGGGTTCAAAAGGCAGGGCCTGGGTTTAAACCCCTTGAGTACATAATAAACAATGACAGAGCTACGGTGACTAAGGAAAGCAGGGAAGGCAAAATTAGAATTGTAATTACAGTCCTTGGGGAGGACAGTGAGGTGTCAGCAACAGAGAATCAGTGAAGGTAAGAGTGGGAGAAAAAGAACAGTTAGTTATGTCTATGTTAACATTTCTGGTGATGCATCCAGGAGGAAATATCAGACAGACTGGCTGAGATGTATGGCTGGATTAAAGAAAATAAGTAAGAGGTATGCTGGGAACACTTTGGAGATTAAGCAGCTCCAAGTCTCCTGCTGTGCTCTATTTCTATCTAGACATGTATTTGCTGTGAAAGTGACTCAAACTTTAAAGCTTTTCTTTTTACATCTCTCCTGGGTACAAAAATGTATTCATGTCCCAAAATACAGCTGAGGAACAAAAACCTGAATAAATTCACTATCTTGTTTAACATCACTGACAAAACAAGAAGTAGAATTGGAAATGGACTTCAGCATAAAATCAGAAAGCATTCCTCTATTAAACATTTTTTTCCTCAGCAACTGTTGAAACTTCTCAACCCTCTCTTCACTCTTCTGAAACACTTCTGCTCTTCCTTCATCTTCAGGAACCTGTGTTCTTGATCTTGTTGCCAAACAACTTTATCACCTCTCACAGTTGACTCCTCCATTCATTTTAACTGTGGACTTACGAAAAAATAAAACCATAAAGAAAGAACAGTTTTTCCTCTGGTTGCTTCTACTGTTATTATAAAAATGCAATATGTAAATCCTTGTACACAATGTCCAAAGCAGTTATAGCTCCGAAAAATTTCATAACATATAGTCTGCGAACAAAAAAGCCATAGCTGTTACAGTGTTCTCAGTGGTTACTTCATTCAGAAAACATCACAAAATAATTAGCATTCAGCCCTCAGTGAACCTCTGGAACATTGAGAGAGGAGGATGGAAGAAGATCCCCATCTAAAGAAGATTCACAAACAGCATGAGTATGCTTAATATAAATGAGGGAAAAAAATCCTATGAAGTAAAAGATCTTTGAAGGAAAAAAAAAAAAAAGAAAAAATCTAATTGCCTTATGAAATCTGCAGACAAACATACATGCTTTAGGTCAAATCAACAATAAAACTACTGTGTAAGCAACATGAGAAGGTAGGTATCTTACCTTCTTCTACAGTTACGTTCCCTCTGAAGAAATATTTTCCATGTCCTCTAGAGAGAGCCACACCTAAACTGTGCAGAGAAATAAAGCAGACCTTGAAATCTGTGAGACAAACAATAACAGACATTCAGAGCTATTTTCATTTCTAACATTTCCAGCCAGTGTACTGTGATGAACTTTAAAACTGTTTGTTTACAAACCCTCACTGATCATATTTATTGTTAAACTAGCTGCTTCAATGCTGTTTCAGTTCTGATGTGCCTGCAACAATCAGCTGTATTTATGTGCGCTTAGAGGTGCAGTAAACCATTATTTTCTGGCAAACTAATAAACGAGTCCCTCTAAGCACACTGCTGTTCACCCAGCATGAGATTTCTTCAGCTGAGCCTTGAACATGCCTATGAACTTACAATGAAGGAGATGATTCTTTGTAAATCAGACTAAGCTGTTGAGAAACTATGTAAGTATGGGAATTAATGGAGCTACTGAGAGGAAAAGAATTTCATATGTGACAACAGTATCATGACTCCTCTTGGACTATTCTTTCTGTGAATCACATTTTTAGCTAGTTTAACTTTTTTGCATTGACTTCAGTTTCATAAACTCTCCACAGTTACGTGCCCAGTTTTCATTTGGTTTTTAGTCTACGATTTAAACTATTCAAATTCAATGAACTGCCTGCGGGATCCCTTGACTCTCCCTGTTGAACACATACACAGAATACCTTCTGGCATTCATTGATTCAAGGGGATTATATCAGGTGAGGAACCTGCCAGTAATCAGTAAGACTGAAAATACGTAGGCTGATACTTTAAGTACATGTAGAAGCATCAACTCCAAAGCACACCTGCTGCAAAAAACAGCTCAATCTGAAAATGGGTTGAACAATAAACAACTTTGACACTGCAGTGTATATTTTAATAAATGTTGCCCCTGCTGTCTTCCTGAATCTATACTCCTACCCATCAAAACAAGATACAGATGATGCTGAAAAAGGCAGGACAGTTTTACTACTATATTTCTACCCTAAGAATCAGAACTCGCACTGCATGTATATATGTAGCCCCGTATCTGTTTACTAAATAGGGTAATAACGACAGTGCCATAGGAAAAGGCAAACAAACAAAACAAACAACAAAACCAACAAATCACAAAATAAAAATACCAAAACAAAACAAAAAAATACACTGAATTTTATCACCCATGTGTGAATTTTAACAAGAATAAACATGCATTAGAGACCAGAGAAATGTGCCTATATATTTTTAAGTGGAAATGTAGCTCAAGTTCTGTGAAATGGTTCCATTGAAGAAAATTTCAGTTGAGTATTGCAACTATCAGCCTTCTCCTTTAAGAATAAGGTACAGTTAGTATTCTTTTATTAATGGATTACTTCTAATTCATATATGAACATTTTTAAAGTGACTTCCTGTCATTCTTCCCCCCCCCGCCCCCAACTAAGATGCATGCCAAAATAATATGGCTGACTTGCTCAGTTTTAGTTATACAAATACACTGAAGGAAGTTCAGAGAAACAAAATAACCAAACCTCAAATTGGAAGTGAAATACTATCTCATTTAACATTACATTTTTGTTGTGGAAAAAAAAAATCAAAATGGGGCCCAATATGTAGTTACTTAAATGGATTACAGTATTTATGGCTCTCCAAGTACTCGCGAAAGCCTTTCGTTCAATGTAAACCTCAACTGAATATTTTTTTAATGAAACGTAAGCCATGACAAACACTGCGAGTTTGCCTGTGTGAGCTTGCACAAACTTTCCATCCTTGGAAAAGCTGAAAGGAATGCTGGTAGGTTCCTTTTCCTTGCTATTTTCAGCATTGTCCAGGGATATTTCATTGTCAACTTTTGCTGATGAGCTTTTAATGAGTTCACAAGCTCTGTACAAATGCAAATTCAATGAGTCTGATGAAATGTCCATTTATTATGGTCAGCTCTACCTGAATGGAGTACCCTTGATGTCTGTATAATAGTAGTCATTTGTCATCACCAATACTCGCTTCTAGATTCAGAACAAGAAAGTCAGAAGGGGAGGGAAGAAGAAGTTAGTTTGCTATAAGAAATGTATAAAAGATCAAGTGGTTAGTCATGATAAAATTACAAGCAATGTTTATGTTCAGTGAATGAAAAAAAAAATGTACTGCAGTGAAGCGTATCTACGACGATCTTAAAAGTTGTAACAAAAATGAACTGCTTGCTTTATACTTAGTTGGAATAATATTTTATACATTGTACCCCTTTGTCCACTGTCTTCTTTACTTCCATGGAGAATTTCCCTGTTTTCCGATTCACCATTGCATTTCGGAGCTGAAATGAGGGAAATATGTGTCAATTCCTTTATTTGCATTTTCTGTAATTCTTTCAACTCTGAGCTGTCTGGTACCCTCCTTTGGACTAAGCAGTAGTTCTTCATTTCTTCATTTTCACTGAACAACCCCCTCACAGATTTTACTATTGACTGTATAGGTCAAGACTCCTGCTGCACAACTTTAGAAAAGTTGCTGAGGTACATAAGATAGGAGCTCTCAGCATCCTTCATAGCAAAAAAGCTCTCTGTCTAATAATCTGGATCTTAGGTGGAATAAACACTGTAATTGATGACTATTCTGCAGTTACTGCATAGGAAGATAAGGACTAGGTTCCCAGCTTGCTTTAGCTGAAGTTATACCAGGGGTCAGTGTTTAAATACATCAACAATTATACATATAATAACAAAGGAAAAGAGAGAAAAACCTCACTTATCCTACATGATTCATTCTGCTCCTGCTTGATATTCTACATTGGGCTGCATCCTAAACTAGCACCAGAAACTTCATCCCAACTGCATCAGAAATTAGAACTAGCAAAAGAATGACAGCCCATTTGATCAGTAACCTGTTTCAATGGGGACACACAGCTGCAGTGCTCTGTGATTCCCTCTGGTTGACCACTGGTGTCCAGGCACCCCTTGCAAGGTAATAAATTTTATCTATGTAATGGAAATCCTAGGTCAGTCACAGCTTTAAGAATTGGCCTGGACCTCTCTCTCTCTCTCAAAGTTGTCCAAAAGACTTTTTAATTCCCCTTCAAAACCAGGTTTCAATACTATATAAACCAAAAACTCAAAGTAGCTAGGGAAAACAGAAAATAAACGAAAAAGTTTATACACAATGGCTTACCTGCTGCTCTGCAAGTTAAATGTCACTTATTTAGATTACCACACACTGTTTTTCAGTAACTTTTTTCTAGCCTCTACATGAGCTGCAGGCTCCCAGATCTGTGCTGCAAAGTCCTTACTCATGACCTCTAAAAAGTCTTTCCTTAGTACACCTACTTGCTTCCTAGGAAAGAAGAGCCTTCTTCCCAGAGGACACCAGCTGACATAGCCTCCTCATGCCATGATGATGCAAAGAGTAGGAAAACAAAAACTGTTCCCCAGGTCTATAAGCCAAAATGACCTGCACTGTCCCTAACAAAGAGTACACGCTCCCCTGACACAGCTCGTCTGAGAGCAGGGTCCTGAGCTGAAACTGAAGAATGACAAGATGTGAGTTTTGAGAAATCCTCAGCCTTAGTGTTTTGGATCTGCCTATTTATCAGTTCAAGACTTCAAGGAAGAAATAAGAAAGTTACTGTTTAGCAGTTATACCATTCATATATGGATTTTATTTGAATGCTCTTAGATTTACAAATGGAAGAAATGATTTCTTTTGCTTATATTTTTAATTAATGACATAGATGCAGAAAGTTGAAGGTGGTTGTTTCAGGATATTTTCAATTATAAAGTGAAATTGCTATAGTTGTGGGGTTTTTTGTAGTAAGAAGCACCTATAAATCTTTCTCAGTTGTAATTTTCATCACAATAGGAAAATTCCACTATCACTAATTAATTCACACTCCCTCTTCAGGAGTATTCACAATGCAGAATAATATTGACAAAATAAACATTTTATGTCTCTTCTATTGCTTATCTATCTGAACACAATTTTGGACATTGTATTTTTGCTGAATAAATATCTTCTGTTCTCTAGTACCTCATGCCAGAATGGACAATTCAGTCAGATTTTAAAGAAATATTATGAAGATAGTGATATCAATGCACTCTGCAGGCTTTTTGAGTTAGTATGGAGTGAAAAGAGAATGACCAAACTTGCCAGTGAAATATCTGGTTCTATTCTCATGAACAAGTTGAGTGTGGTTGACCTATCAAAAACTGCAAACTTTGAAGCTCTTTAAATTTAATTCTTGGGCACCTAGATTTGAATTAACAGTCTTAATCTTCTGTCAGTGAGCGTAAAAGGGTAGTTTTTAGCTGGAGGCATGTGTAAAATAAAGCATATATTTTACTGCAGGTTTTTTTTAACAATACATAATAGGCAATTCTGGAAATATTTTCCCATTTTAAGTTTTGTGGTTTTGGACTTGGAGAGCTGGTCTTAATTAACCATCTACTTTCTAACATTTACAGAACAGTTCCATTTATCTTTAACATGGTTTTCATTTTTCTCCTATTGGTGCCTGCAGTTGTCTAAGACCCATTCCTCCCACAAGCCTCAGGCAAGTCATAGATTTACTAAAAGGGCCTCCAAACTCTCAGTAGTGTTTAAGATCAAGTCTGCATGTGGGATTTAGAGTTTTGCTTTTCTTCTTTTTTTTTTTTTTTTTTTTTTTTCCTTCTTGCTGTGATTACATTTCTTGGCTTTGTAATCTGGTTTCTCAGCTCTTCTGCAGTTTCATCTCCCTCCTCAAATGCATAAAATAAGTACTGCCTCAGCTGGCTTCAAGCCCCAAAACATTCATTCATAGTCTTTATTATTTGGAAAAAAGTATTTCATTCAGCTAGAAATTATAAGAAAAGAAGTGAGTTAATGAGGAAAAGGTTTCTGTCCAAATTGAAACTTCTTGTCTTTGTATTCCCTAACTATGCTGGAAGACACTGTTAGTTTAATAAGCTGATGCTAAGATTTCTATTTCTAATAAAATTCAATAACAGCAAGATAGCAGGTACTGTCAACCTGGAAAATGAACTGGTGAATATATATTTACACCAACTCTATTTATGGTGAAAAAAATTCTAACCTTAGTTCTGTCCCCTTTCCTTATTAGATGACTAGAGGAAACATTTATTCACCTTCTCAAAGTAATACACATTATTACTCCTTCAACTAAGTATCTTCCCAATCAATTGCTAACAGCCCAGTTTCACTGCTATTGTATGAGATCATTCTATATTCTTGGAAAACTATGTAACCATTAAATTAAAGTGGTAAAAAGTAAGAAAATGTCTTAATCAGCTTCCATGTAATTGTTTCATGGGAGAAAAATATAACAGTAGTAGTCTATGTTATTAAAAGCAGCTATATGAATACATTCTTTCCCTCTACAGTTGAATAAACAATGCTTTACTACCCAAACTTGTAAAAACTCAAGAACATCAAATCCAAGGCCTTGGGTGAAGCAGAGCCACACGTAGCTCTCAGTCTATGAGATACTTCACAAAGTTTTAAGTCTCCTACACATATTTACCATTTTCACTCAAAATTAACAATATTAAGGAACTGCCTATTACAAAAGATCAACAAAAATAACACACACTTTTTGGGCACTCATTTGAGGATTAAAACTGTAAAAATTAAGCAGAGAAAGTATTGGAAGAAATAAAAAAAAACCCAACAAACCCGAAGATAAACAATAAGAAAAAAATATCACGAACATTAAGCAGTACTTAACTACAGCAATAACACTCGAAAGGAGAGAGGAAATATTAAAAGGTCATCTGCAGAGGAACTGGTTGAGTAATACGTCATCAAAAATAAAAGGCAAGGTATAAAATATTAAGTCAATGCAATAGCCAAGATTGCAGAACGCTGCTACAGTATATGAAAACTAATGAAGAAGTCTTAAATAGTATATGCATTGAAAACTGCACAAAGTATACAAGAAATATCAAAAAAGCTAGAGTGTGCACTCCAGCGCAAAACTTCGAATAAGATGGCCTCCTAGGAGAGGATGAGGACAATCTATCACCTGATGAAACAGACATTGCCTAAAACATAAATGAACTGTTTCACTATTCACAAAGGGGGTGGAGAGCAGGAGGAATGCAAGATATATATTTTGTAAGGGAGAAAGAAAATATAGACTTATGTCAGAACAGGGATCAAGAAATTAGTACATCTGAAGACTGACAAGGCTCCAGGGGCAGTTGTACGTGATCCATCCCAGATTTCGGAAGGACATGACAAAGTAAATATGGGAACCTTCAGTGGATATATTCAAAACCCCTCTGAAAAGGTAGAAGTATGAGGGACTTGAGAGAAGCTAACATGGTACTGATATTTGAGAAGGGATTGAAGAGACATCTATGAAAAATACAGACATGCAGTTGTGACTTTGGCAGTAGGGAACTTAAGAGAAAAACTAAATTACAGGACAGAAAGAAGAACACCTGGAAAGTTACGATTTAATTAAGGACAGTCAGCACAGATTCACACAAAACGAATCATGCCTAACAAATCAGATTTATTGAGGAAGTAACAGAAAGACCAGGCAAAGGTTAAGCCATGGACATAAGGAAAGCTTTTGATACAGTACTGCAGAAAAGGCTAAGCCTGCAAGGTAAGAAAGAGTAAGATAAAGAGTGAACTACAGAGTAGACGGAGCGCTGAAAAATGAATTTAACAGAAAGGATTGTGTGCACAACAGCTGATAGAACGCATGCTTCTGCAGCTATACATCTGAAATTAGGAGTTTGGAGTGAATCTGTGCTCTGAATAGAGGTCAAAAAATCCAATTTTGTTTATTCGTTTGATGTTTTTTGATTTTGTACACTAAGGAAAACAGCATGCATTATTTCCATTAAGGAAAGAGAGATCTCATGGAGAAAAGTTAAACTCATTCCTTCATTTCTGAGTTTCAGCAGTTGTCTGGGTCAGCCCTAAAGAGATATTCTACTCCCTTCTTAGCACTGTATTTGCTATCCAGCAAATATACACAATGGGATGTATGGAGAATGCAAGGACGATGAGTTTTACCAAAGATACAAAGAGTCTGTGTTTGTGGTATATGCATATGTCAGGAAGAATCAATACAAAACAGTTATAAAATTCTGAATTAAATAAAAGGGGCTATTGTCCTTCCCTTCCTGAGAGCAGTCAAGTGGCCTCTCTAATGACTACTGAAACAGTTTCCAGGTACAGTAGTGGGATGCAACTATGTCTTCCGACAGGGTTTTAAAACACATCACTTACCACATCATCTCTGTCTTCCCACTCAACCTCAGAAAGATCCACACTACTATAGTTGGGTTTTCTTCGTTTCTTCCCCTCTTCATACTGGCATAAAAAAGGTGAAAAATTTAGCACATCCTGTTTTATTTGCATAAGATTTTATATTAGAAGATTTTAAAAATTTGCTGGATGCATGCTGACTGTATGCAATACACATAACAGTAAGTGGCTTAATTTATACAAAGTGCACCCTATTGCTACATAAATTTTGTCTGTGAACTAAAAACCTACATCCCAGATGATTATTTGCAGGATCTTGTGCCAGGATACAAAGCTTTTCTTGATGGGCACACTAAGAAGTCAAACTCAGCAGTTGTACCTTCTTCTCCCCATATGGAAAATACATGAGACCTCGATCTTGTAGTTTATGTTAAATGTCTCAAACTAGCTCTTTCAGCTGTACAGGAAGTTATGTTTACTATAATCTTATCAACAAAATGTTTACACATTTCTCTTTAAACAAGATAAGATGCAAGTCTTGGGAAGTATGGTGTTAACATTTGCTGATACTACATTTTATCTACAACTTTATGGGGGAAAAAGTAATACACTAAATAATGATAATTTATAGTTTTTTATCACTAGTCAGTGTTACACTATAAATCACACATTTAAAATAAACATTCTAGTGACAAATTGATTTGACATCGAGGTGTTTATAATGTAGGAAATTCTGCCCTCTGCTGAACATTCAAAATCAGAGAGCCTACTAGTGTAAGAACAAAATCCTTGCTCGGTGGAAGAAGAAAAAGTATTTAGGAAGATCTGTGAATAAAGAACCTAACTGGTTAAGAAAAGCTATGACAATATATTTGAAAAAAAGAAATTAAATTTGGGAGAGGATCAGCATAATGTGAAATCTGGTCTTTTATGATGCACATAAGCAGGAGGGAAAACCACAAGTCTTTCTATGAAGTATGACAGCAGACATCGGGGTAGTGGGAAAAATCCCCAAATTGCTTTTGTGACTCCCCAACAATAGCATCACAGAAGGATAGAAAATGTACCTGTAAGGCAGTATATATAGCTGATTCTCCTCCCTCAGGGCAGGACCAACTATACCATAAACCAAACCTGTCAGTGCTTGAGACAGCCAATTCATCACTGGGGCCAGTGGTACAGGAACTTTCAAGCACTTACTGCAGATTACAGAGACTAGAGAGGCCAAAGAAAAAAATCTTCTCTCTGAGCATTAATAAGTTATTCCCATCCTGACTTTTTCCTCTCTAAATTAGAAGATTCTGATATGAATCCCAGAGGTGCTTTTGGAGACCACAGTATTTAAAAACAGGCATGACAAAATCTTCCTGAAGAACAGCAAACTTTTAAAAATATTGACTGGGTCATAATCATAGACATTTTGAGATACTAGTAGCACTGTAAAGTTTGTTCTAGCACAGGCTTCACTGAGCCCCCTTAATGTTTGATCATGACAACTTGGATACTCCAATTATTTCTACAAGTTATTCTTTTGGTAAACTATGTAGGATAAAATCCTGAATCAATTCTCATTCTTCTTTTGAAAAACAAAAAATCCTAGCAACTCTACTGGTGTAAATCTTAGACTAAGTTCTGAGAATTCATGCAGATACAATTGAAGAATATGTTCATGTGCTTTTCTTGCCCCATTGCTAGAAGCCACCATTCTTATAACAACAAGGTTATCTACTTCTGGGCTAATGCTATTTGACAGATGGGTAGAGAGATGTAAAGAATTTCTGCTTTCAGCACATGCTTATACACTAGACTGTGAATTCAAGCAGCTCAGTGCTATGACTAATTCTTGCTACATGACAGCTCTGATAGCCAAAGAGATAACTATACACAAAATACTGAAGTACAAAATTTGCAGCCAACGCAGTTAAATCTCACAAGAATAAAATATGAGAGGATAGCATCCAGTTCATTACCAGGGCTTGATTTTTGTAGCTACATTTTACAAGCCTTTCATTATGGCTGCAGCTATATCAATATTATCTTTAATCTTTACACAGAGTAACTATGTCTACTCTCTGTGGCTGCAGCAATTAACCAAGCAAATCTCTGGTCTAATTTAGTCATTCTAGTATAGAAATGGTTACAGTCAAGCTCTGAAATACTGAGAGCTGAAAAGTGTTAGATGGAAGTTAGCTGGGATCATTTCAGTAGAGCAAACAGCTCCTGTACTGATTCCAATGCTTAATTACATCCTTATTCACAGATGTTGAAGAGCTTCTGGGCTATACTGCATTCTCAGACACATGTGCAAATCCTTACTTATGACAATAGGAGTTTAAATTGGGTGGCTGACAGCAGAAGTAGGTTTCAAACATAAGGCCAACCATTTGCATCATATTGATTACAGGGTTTGTATTTATTTTAATCATATAGATTCTACACCTTGCACTCGAAAGAGTGAAAACAAAATCCAAAAGCAATCAAATGAAGGACTGGATAAAACATTCAAAGTTCTGCAGCAAAGCCAGAATTGGAACCATTCATGCCTTAAAAATTCAGATAAGCAGAAACAAAGCCAAAATCTCAATGCTCAAGCAAGGGTTAGGCTCTATATGCACTCAAAAGAACAGAAAGTGTAGTTCTTAAACACATTCAGAACAGGAACTAGTAAAGTATTGAGATGCCTAAGCCCTCATTCAGCCCTTACACTTGAGGTGCTACTGTTTAGTTGCTGAAACAGGTATTCAGTAAGTAAAGAGTAGATTTATGTTACAGTTCAGAGAAGGATAGCAGATAAAACAAAAACCAACTTTCAGCAAGGACAGGACACCAAAAAATAGCAATTGTTTGTACATTTGGGTAACTTTGCTTACAAATCTAATTTTCATGAAAATACTACTTTATTCCCAGCAGTAAATTTACATATATTTATGTTTACGTAACCAGAGCCTAAAACATAAATGCAAGTAGATAAAATATATTTCAGAATGGCACTGTTCAATTGGCCATTCTTCTCTAGCTTCTTTCTAGTTTTATTACTTAACTGATTTCGTAGTAAAAGTTACTTATGGACATAGAATCAACTCACCAGTAAAAATGGCATATATCTATATCTTTTTCTCTGGTAGCAAACCTGATCTAACTTTTTATCTCTGATACTCCTGGGTGAAGTATAAAATACTGACTGAAGGCTGAAGTCAAACCCATCTGCAAGATTACTATAAAGCACTGAAACAAATTATTAAGGGACCAACTGGGAAAGATAGAAACTAGGAGCCCAACCAAATTACTCTGATTTAAATGCATGGGAAAAGAGCTAGATTTAAACTGTGTGCTGTTAATCTACTTTGACTATTATGAAATGTGCTGATGCTATATAGTAGTTAACTTCTAATTGGGGTGGGGGTGGGGGATACTGAAAGTTTTTAAATATCTGGACTACAATACAAACAAGTCTGCTCAAAACTATATGATAGCTCCAACATTATTTTTGTTTGTGGAAAGAACACAGTAAATGATTTTGTTTGGTAATCAGAATGAGGTTTATCTTACTCAGTATCTTTTATTTGAGGCTTGGCCAAACTCTTGTAGCACTGGATGATTCAAACAACATGTGACGTGTACTGTTTAAAGACTGAATCAGATTTTTTCACCACCCCGTATACAACCATTTACATGTGCCATTATTAAAATCCTTGCTTTGATTTTTTTTTTTTTTTTTTTAAACACAAGCTGTCCCAAACCATCTGCATTGAATATGACCTGCCACATGTTTATAAAGTCAGAGTGTAGCAATCTGATCACAGAGAGAGCAAGCTACATCTTAACAGCTGCAAGCCTTGGGTCTAAGGTGATTGGAATTTCTCAGACGTGCTCCATCTGGATAATGGGGAGGTAGGAGAGAGTAAGTTGCTGTGATAGCAGCCTTAGAAGCGTCAACAGATTTTAGCAAATTTAGCCACACTTGTGGAATCATCTATGAGAAAACACTATAGCAAGAAAGTATCTACTAAACAACAATCAAAAACTAGGGAGGTAAAACAATTTCAATTGAAAGATTTTCCTTGCCAAACTACTATTCTATGTACAAAAGTAAGGGATCAGGAACTAAAAAACTCCTCCAATTTTAAAACATAGCATCAATCAATTAAGTTTCATGGATTTGGATTAGTACTTCAAAATTAGGATAATGTATTAACCTATACAGGATATGAAATTTTTTTGTTTTGTTTGTTTAGAGGAGTCAAACTTGAATATATACAAACATGTTTTGCTGAGATTGAATTTTACACCATTAAAGACACAATACAGTTGCATTTATAACTTTAACTTACAGGAAGCCATCCTGTAAAGTTATTCTTGTCTACAGAGTTTGATAGGAAAGGTTGAATGAACAAATACCAGAGGAAAATCATCATTAACTAAAATTCCACTCTTTTCCATATAGTTTTAAATGAATAGACGTAGACTGAATACATTGTCATTACTACAATTCCCTGGTCTAGCCAGGGATTCGGCTACCTCCCTTCTCTAAGATTCTGGACACTGATGTTACCACTTATTTATTGTCTAGTGTAGCTCTGACTGATGTAATGCAAAGACTGCAGCTGTTTGAATGGAAACTACATGGAATCTGCCTCTACATGGTCAATGCAACAACTAACACTGAGACCTTCACCAGGTATCCATCCTAGCACAAATGGCTGCTGAGCAACTCTACTCCTTATTGAGGTGACTGTGCCAGGGGAAAGCTCATTTTATGCCACCATTAGGAGCAGAATCATCTGTTTCTGTCATTAGTCCTTCAAGTGTGTCTTCTTTGCTCTTTGCATATAATAAGGTAGGAGTATATTGCTGCTGCCTTTCCTGGCTGCAAAGGGAGGTATACCCCTGAGTGAGGCACTTCTCCAAAAAGAGCCATGCCACCCTGCTATGTATATGTGCACAGAAAGGAACAGGAGGGGGATACTTCCTTCCTACTTTTCAGCAAGGATTGTAATAACTCCAAATTGTAAATTCTTCTAAATATATTTATAGTAAGTCCTTCAACATTAGTCCAGTAATAAATAATACCACTATCATAAGATGCTTAGAGTTTAAATACTACA